CATCATCATCATCATGCAGAAATTTACAAAATGATTTGGTATATGAAATAGAAAATATTTGCTTCCAGCCTTATTGCATTTTTTTCTGAGCAGAGGTGACACTACCCATCTTACCAAGTAGAAGAAGCAACACAAAGAAGCAACATGATTCTGACCCTGAACTTCAGATTACATTAAAGCCTCAACTGACAGTTCCAATAAAAAGAAAGGGCTTCTGCATATTGTTCTCGTAAGTAATGTCTATGGTGATTCTCGGTCATCCATGTCATAGTTATCCCAAAGGTGCTTTTTCATGAGGCAACTGGACTTTTTTCTTTTTCTTTGAAGATGTTTCACTTCTCATCCAAGAATGGGGAATGGAAGGATTTATACTCCTTGCAGACAGCTGATCATTTGCATTCTTTTAGAGAATCATTGAGGCCACCTGGAAGATTATCTGTGTTGTCAGGATCACCTGAGTAATGCAAATGGGTGTGGAGCCTTCTTGGAACTGCTGAAAGGACTGTATTGTAAATTGGAGATAGATGATGTTGTAACCCTCACCCTCTGTTGAGAGAGGGTTGTTCAATTTTTACACAGATGGCCTCTTTGACCCTCTTTCAAACCAGCTGTCCTCGCTGTCCAAAATGTGGACTTTTCTGTCTTCAAAAGAGCGGCCTTTGTCTTTTAAATGCAGATGGACTGCTAAATCTTGTCCTGATGGGTTTGTTCTCCTATGTTGTGCCATGCCTTTATGAAGTTGTTCCTGGATGAGAAGTGAAACATCTTCAAAGAAAAACAAGAAAGTCCAGTTGCCTCATGAAAAAAAAACCTTTGGGATCTCTTGGGTAATAAATTCTTACAAGAGGTGGAAGAAGCAATGCCAAGAAAGAAGTACTGTTACTTCTCTTTACTAGCAGTAGGAGGTATACCTTGCTTGAGGAAGCAGATTGAAAGAATGGCTTCACTCAAAGCATTGTCCTAGTTTCATGTCTGTATAAGAAGGACACATAGAGATATATTGGCTTGACTTTATCCAAGGTTGCAGAACCTGTGGTCTTCAGATATCCTTGAACAATAACACATCACTGTCAAGTTGACTGATACTAAAGGATCTCCACCCTTGTCCTAATCAGTTCTTGGATGAGAAATTAAATAAAAGAGTATGTAATGATTCTGTTACAGGACCAGAATCAGAAATAGAAACAGTTTGTAGAGAATATTCTTAGCTCAGGTTGTAGATTTAGGCAGAGATTTGTCCTCTGAGCTTGTTGCTTAGCTCCAGACATTTCATTACCAAACTACATAACACCTTCAGTGTGGGGTTTGGGGACTGAAGTGGCTTGTTTGTTTATATAGGTCCTGGATGGCCAGTTGAACTGGTTGAATCACAGGGCTATTGAATCACAAGACTGAATCACAAAGCTGGTTGATTGACAAGGCTGACTTAGAACCAGCATACAAACCAATAAGAAAGTGGATCATCCAAACCACCAATTGATGACCACTCCTGCACCAGCTGAATTTTGCACTTCACAACAACCAGTCAGAAGTCACAAGACCAGAACCAGTCTTGTAAATCAATCAGCCTTGTGATTCAGTCAGTCTTGTGATTCAACAAGTCACAAAACCAACCAACCACCCAGGACCTATATAAACAAACAAGATGTCATGTGTCTGATTAACGAAACACTTAAAAGAACTTCCAGGCATTTTTTTAACCTAAAAGCATTTATTAAGGTTACAGAGATGTCAGTACGGCATGGTGGAATGCTTAGATCTGATTTTCTTTTCCGTTGCACATACATTCCAGGCATTTTTCCCTCCCCTATTTTGGGGTCATGATTCACATCTTCCAATTAACTTGGAAGATGTGATTCACTTCCGGTTCCTTTTTCCTGGGCTTTCCTTATTCTCCTCCCCTTTCACTGTTGCCTGATTTAACTATAAAAATACCAGACAGTTCTGCATATTGTCAAAGCAAGAATATACAGTATTTGCAGCGTTGACACAAGACACTTCAGCCCAAAAAACCCCACTGAAGATGTTACCTAGTTTGGTAACAAAACATCTGGGAGCCAAGTAGCAAACTCAGAGGACAAACTTCCACCTATATAGAAATAGTTTACTAGGTAAACCTGATCAATAAAAAGACAGATAGATCATATATGAAATAGCATTTCTAAGAAATTTTCCATTAACATGGATTTTTTTCCCCTTAACATGGTCAAACATTAGCAGATTTTTAGAAGTCTAGTAGGTTTTCCTTCTGGCTGGCTTTTGGGATTATCCTTTATAGAATTGTGACAGAAAACTAGATTCTGATACAGAGTGCTTGAGTTTTAATACCTAGAACAGGGTTCCCCAACCTTAGCAACTTTAAGACCTGTGGACTTCAACTCCTAGAATTCCACAGGACTTAAAGTTGCCAAGGTTGGGAAACCCTGACCTAGAAGTTTTAAAGGCTATAATAAATGAGTAAATGTGAGGAAGAGCAGTTAAGAAAGAAAAAGCAAAGAAATAAAAGCAAAATTAATTAAAATCCAAACATTTTTTACTTGTGAGAAGTTAGACTACCCATCTGATTTAACCATTATAAAGTGCTGCCTAAAATGAATATGATTTTTTGAGATTTTAACACAGCCAGCAATGATGTAAGAAAAGGAGCAAATAATGTATTTTCTGTTAGAAAAAATGAATTTATTTAAATTTATCATCTTTGTAGGAGCAATACTATTTTTGAGAAATACTGAATAACTTCTGATCTCAATTAAATTATCCCTCCTCCATTTTTGGCATGATGACTCATTGGATAAAAATGTCATTTCAATCTACTTGCTCTTTTAATCATTCCTAATTTACAGTATATTTGGAGCTTGCCATAGCCAATCCATCCATTTTACTGAATGGGGCAATTTGGTCAATCAAAGAGAACACTTTCTATTTAAAAATATTCTGACCATTATCAGAATGGTATATACATTCCACCTTCTCACAGAACAGAAAGATACATATATTATTCTATGTCATGCCACTGTGGACAAGGGTTACCTGAGTTCCCCAAAAGGGGCTTAGAAGAGAGAGAAATTTCTTTATTTTTGCACAGCATATATCCTGTTTTTGGTTATACTGACCACCAGGACGCATCATGTTATCAGTTTGATCCTTACTGGGAATGGCTACCCATGTTTTATGATTCCCAATAAGGATGAAAACTGGTATTATTTTAATTATTTTTCAGTTGATTTATTTTCTTTCCTAGGCTATATAACCTTTCAAACTAATAGCACCATGGCATTATTTAAAGGTGCTTACTTCTAAATAGATTTCCAGAATTGTTACTGAAGTTATTACGTCATCATAAGCAATGCTATGTTACCCCACGAAGCTGGCTTTGCATGAGAACCTTTAATAAGTGCTACAATAAGAAGAAAAAGCCATGAAAGAGAATTCCAAAACTCTGGGGACATTAGCACTAAACTGAGCATAATGGTTAGTTAATGAACAGGACAGCAAGATGAAGCTGTTATTTCAAATTTCTTGGGCATATCCTGTTCAGAAGATTTTGTCCATTAAATCCAAAATCGGTTACACCAGGGGTCGCCAATCTGTGGACTGCAGCCCATTAGTGGACTGTGAGGGGAGTGCAACCGGGCCATGGAAACAATCGGTGAGCTTGCGCACGGGCATCCTCACTTGGCTATCAGCAGGTGAACGTGTGCATGTGTGCTCCATTTGTGTGAGCGGCACGTGCATATGCATGCCACTCACGCAAGTGGAGTTGTGTGTGCGTGCGCTTGCCAACCACTCCCGTGGGACCATCCCATACTGGTCCACAAAGCCAGAAACATTCGGGAACTCTGGGCGATATTGAGATTTATTAAATCAAGGGTATTCTGGACTCTTTTCCACATCAGTATTTTTTCCTTCTACTATGACAGCCATTCATGTTAACTTCTCTGGACATACGTTAAATATGCTTACCTGATCTCGAGAATAGGAACTGTCTACTTTCTGTTTGTCAGAACAAGCTGCAATAAGAATATTCATCGCATCAAGGTGAAGCAACATCTCACAGGCCTTTGAGTCCAAGAATGTAATATTGGCAAGTGCAGCTGAAGCCAATAGGAAAACTTCCCCAGAGGCAGCCTCTTGGCACAGTTCTAGACATTAGAAAACCTAATTAAAATATTAAATTAAAACCAGTCCATTTATTTAACAGAATAATAATAGAATATCAGAGTTAGAAGGGATCTTGGAGTCTTCTAGTCCAACCCCCTTATCAAGCAGGAAACCCTGTACTATTTCAGAAAAATGGTTGTCCAATCTGTTCTTAAAAACTTCCAGTGATGGAGAACCCACAATTTCTGGAAGCAACTCGTTCCACTGATAAATTGTCCTAACTGTCAAGAAATTTCTCTTTAGTTCTAGCTTGGTTCTCTCCTTGATTAGTTTCCATCCATGTTTTGTTTGCTTTTTATGGCCGTGAGGGAAGATCCTTGAGCAGCTGTTTATTTCAAATAAAAATGCACAATACAAATGTGGTTGTAGCATAGAGTTTGGCTGTAGATGATAGATTGGGTTGCCAGATAAAATGTAACCGTATGCACAGATAAACTAATTGATTCACAAGAGTATATAATTTTACAGTATATCTTGCTATCATTACAGCTATATATTTAATCTAAGACTGTGCTATATAACTTTTCCCTTCCTGCTGAAGACCTCTTAAAATGCTGCAGACAGAGCTGTTATTATAACCTTCTAAGTGTCTTTTAATTTCTGTACACATCTATTTTAACTAAGGTCTGACTCACCCAGCAATTTGATTTGTCTGTGGTTCTGGGATTAAATAAATCAGAATAGTAATTCAATTACTTAGCTATAAATATTATAGAGAAATTAGAGATTCATTAGAGGGAAGATTCCCTATTGCAGTCTCTAAATGTGCTTAGGTATAGCTGGACCTGAATGTAAAAAGTAGATGCTTTAACGGTAATAACAGATAACTCTCTACTTCTTAATCATAATTCTAATAGCAGAGCCTCATGTTCCAACATGATAGTAAGTCAGGTGCTTAAACCATGATTGTTTTCCTAGTTTGAAATATAAAGACAGAGGAACACTTGAGGTGCATCATGGAACTTCTTGAGCAACTTCAACATTATTTTCTTCCCTGATTATTTCTTCTATATTTTGGAAGAGCTTTTTTTCTCAGGTAAAATATTTCAAGTAAAAGCCTTTGGCATTACCTGTTACCTGTTTCTTTTTATTGTAAATAAATGGTGGTTCTACTTGATTGATAGACCATAGATTTCCACGTTGGTGACATCTTTTTAGCATAACATTCTTAATAAAAATAGATGGGGGATAGTCTGTAACTACTTGCAGAACTGTTAGGCAAGGGGAAGAATGCATCAGATATTTGAGTTATTTTTTTTCAGCATTCCACCAGGGTGGACATTTTATATTTAATGTTAACAATATATTTGTTATTTGTTGTTGTACACAAATTTATTATTATTATTTTTCTATATGTTGTTTGGTTATTTTGTTTGTAGCTGATTTTTTTCTTCTATTTGGCATTTTAACTTTAGAGATAATTAAATAAAAAATGTTTAAAAAAAAAACAAAAAAAAAAAACCCTATTTTTTTCCCTGACGATTTTTTCTATATTTTGGCAGGGCTTTTTTTTCAGGTAAAATGTGGCTTTTTGCATAAGCAAGCCTATTTGAAACCTTCTTCCTGTCTATAAAGTATCCACTGGGTGGCAATTTTTGCCAGAAAGTGTGCCATAAATTTTGTGGCATGATTAATAACACTGATGTGATGCTGATTGCAACACTATAGAGGGCATCCAGAAGCCAAGAGGAATTGAACCAATTTAAATTCATTTGAGAGCAGAAACTAATGTCCACCATGAGAAAAAAAAAATAAAGAAAGATCTGACCTCTCAGTTTTCTTTCTAACAATCATATAATTTCATTTCCTCCAATTTTGGAGCTTTACTATTACAAGAATAAAAGGAGGAGCTTGCAAAGCCTGTGGGTGGCTGATGTAGTGTCATGATCCAAACATTGGGCAAGCCATCCACAGAAGAAAAAGTGACTTTGGACTTGATGTACTGTAAATATAATCTGCTTCCAACCACTTTGGACAGAAAAAAACATAGTCTTAAAAATGAGTCTACTCTTTTACAATAATAAAAATAATAATAATAAAAAGGAAGAAAATGAAAGGAGTGTAAACAGAGGTAAAATAATAGTACAACAAAATAAACAATGAAAAAAGGAGTACAACGAGAATACCGAAAAGATGGATGGGTGGAAATATTATCATATTATTATATATGGAATACATATGGGCATATATAAAACAAAAAGAAAGAAGGAAAGAAAGAAAGAAAGAAAGAAAGAAAGAAAGAAAGAAAGAAAGAAAGAAAGAAAGAAAGAAAGAAAGGCATTGCATCACTAACACTGAATCCGTTATCTCTGAGAAAGAGGCATCATAGACAAATACACACAGAAAACCACACTTAGAATACTGCATCCAGTTTTGGCCACCATATTATTAAAAAAATGTTGAGACTCTGGAGAGTGCAGAAAAGAGCAGCAAAGATTGTTAGAGGGCTGGAGACTAAAACATATGAATAATGGTTACAGGAATTGGGTAAGTCTAGTCTAGTGAAAAGAAGGCCTAGGGGCAACATAATAGCAGTGTTCCAATATTTGAGGGGCTGCCACAAAGAAGAGGAGTCAATCTATTTTCCAAAGCACCAGAAAGCAAGACAAGAAACAATGGACAGAAACTACTCAAGGAGAGAAGCAACCTAGAACTAAGGAGAAACTTCCTAATGGTGAGAACAATTAACCAGTGGAATGGCTTGCCTACAGAAGTTGTGGGTGGTCCATCGTTGGAAGCTTTTAAGAAGAGACTGGACAGCCACTTGTCTGGAATGGTATGAGGTCTGCTGCTTGAGGAGGGGGTTGGACTAGAAGACCTCCAAGATCCCTTTCCAATCTGTTATTCCGTTAAGATCGAAGTTAAGGAACAATGAAATAAGGTATTTGATTAAAAACAGTTCTTCACCCCTTTCCTTTCCTAAGCAATCTGAGAGTAGGATATTTGAAATTTCTCCTAATCTGTAGAAATATTCCTGCTAAGAGTCAGTCTGTCAATCCAGACAGGCTCTCTAAAACAAAAATATAGGAAACTGACAGCAGGAAAAAATAACCCAGTGGTCCATTGAGCCCTTTGGGAGTTTTTTCTTCCTGTTGTTGTTTTCTTTTTAATTTATTATTTTGTTATTTTTAACTTTTTTATTTTTGTCAGATGATAGACATGTGTTTATCTCAAGCATGTTTAAACTCAATTACAGATGATTGACTGACCCAGAAAAGTGAGAAAAACAACAGAGTTGAAAGAAAGATTACACAATTAACATATCACACGTAGCATGTGGTAATTAGTCTAAAAATTCTCAAAGCCTTCTGCATCTTAACAACATTCAAACATGAAATTTCCATGGATATACATACTGAGAAGCGCGGTGACAATTTCTTCCATGTTCTCAAGAAAGCTGTTGAGATGCTGAGTGGAAGTGAGCTGAGGAGATGTGATCTGAGCTATTACTGCGGCTGCTTCAGCATGAGTAGCCTGGGAATGTATACCATCTGTAAGAATGTCAGCCAAACATAATATTCCATCAACCTACGGAGAGAAGGAGGGGGAAAAGTGTTACAGCATATTTTGACAAAGCAACCTTGTATGACAAGGGTTATTAAGAATTATTTGAGTTGAAGGTAGCAGTCCTATTTGAAAGCTAGTCAGGTAAAAAAAACAGAAAGCCCTTATTTTTTATCTATCCCTGTGTAAAATGTACACAGTCAAGACCCTTTATTATAGGAGTGGATGCATAAGTAAAACAACATTCATTCAATCTGGGTTTACCACTCTGTGGTACTGGACATTTTGTGAATGGCATTAATACATGCTTATTCTATCAATTTTAGCAGTATGAGAGAGACAGCATTGGTTGCCCTTTTGGCTTATCTCTGTCTGGAGCAGGATAGGGATAGTACATCTGTCCTTGCTCTTCTTGACTTCTCAGTAGCCTTTGATACCATCAACCATGAACTGGCTCTGTGGATAGGAAATGGGCAGCACGGTATTGCACTGATTCATTTTCTTTCTATGGTCAGGGTTGCCTGGGAGCCCTGAGCCCATACTATGTAGGTTTCTGGAGGATTCAGTACTCTCTATGTAACATCTGTATCACGGGTGTCAAACTTGCCATGTCATGTGACGTGTCGCGACATATCGCAACTTTTTTTGCATTGCCAGAGCTGAGGTGGGTGCGGCCTCTGAATGATGCAACCGGCCCGCAGGCCAGCAGTTTGGCACCCCTGATCTATATGGAGTCACTGGATGAGATCATCCATCACCACGGGGTGAAGTTCGATCAGTGTACAGATGATACCCAGTTATAAATCTCTGCTCTTGGCATATTAAGCAATGCTGTAGATATCTTGTCACAGTGTCTACAAACTATGATGGTCTAGATGAGGAACAATAGGCTTCAGCTGAATCCCAACAAGACTGAGTAGCTCTGAGTAGCCTTCTGGATCTGGAGCTTTAACATCTTTGGTTCTGGATGGAATTGCACTACCCCAGATAGATTGTGCACAATCTGGGGTTGTTGTTTTTCCAAATTCATAACTCCTGCTTGTGGAGCAGCAAGTAATGGCTATGAGACCCTTTGAAAAGCTTCATGTTTTTGCCCATTATATCCTTCCTGGGCCATAAAGATCTACTAACTGTCATTCATGCCTTGGTCCTTTCCAGAATGGATTACTGTAGTGCACTCTACATGGGGCTACTCTTACAGAGCATCTGGAATTTCAGCTGGTGAGCCTGCAACTGTACAGACAATTATATGCTCCCTAGCATGGCACACATTACACCTCTGTTCCTCAAGCTGCATTGGCTGACAGTTCAATTCTGGGTGTAATTCAAGGCACTGATTTGGAACTTTAATGTCTTACATGGCCTGGGACTAGATTATTTGAGGGATTGCCTCTTCTCAGTTTCACGTGCCCTTCCCATTAGATCAAGTAGAAGGGTTACGCTTTAAATCCTGCCTCTTAAGGAGTACTATCTGATGGGATAAGTAAAATATCCCAGAAGTCAGTATTCTCCCTAAAATTAAATTATAAAGAAGAAGAGTTTTTCTTTTAGGATATCAAAAAGTATTATCTAATACAGTACTTTTATCTATTATCCCAATTTTCTATTATTGGGTTGTTCATCATAGACTATTCAGTTCACGTGTTCAAAATGTCTTCAGTTCTTGTTAATATTTAATGCTGATGCCTTAAGCGATCTATTTAAAACTTTTTCTGGCTCTCACTTTTATTATTCATTAATAAGCCATGCCAAATTACCTTACCTATCCCTATCTGGATGTAAATTAATACATTTGATTTTCTGTTATCCATAACAGCATTTTATGAGAAGTGCTATCAAGTTTACAAAAATAAACGCTATTATCTTTAGAAATAATTATGATTATAGCAAGGATAAATATAACACAGGTTTATTTATTTTATAGAACACAATGTTTGGCGTGTACTATTTGGAAATGAAAGTTATGTTCCAATGTCTATTTTTTGGGACAAGAATCATCATCAATCTATATTTCTCTAATTATAAGAAAAGTAACTGTAGGAGATGACCAAGCTGAGCCTGAGGGAAGGGTCAAACATGTCATAAGTCATGAGTCCCTGCGTGCCCACAAGAGATCTAAGTCCAGCCCACCTTCAATTCCATTGACTCTTATCTACCGTCAATTTGTTTTGACTGTTAGTAGCTCAGATTTTGTAGAGAGTTTAAGCAATAAATCTTTATACTCATTTGAACTGCCGGAATCTCCCTGGCACAGGATAGTAATCATTTGCATAACTCATATATTTCTGCTTGAACAATATGATTATAAGTCAATATGAATATTTATATTTAAAGCAGTATTTCAATCTGTATTTTCTAAAAAAAAATCACTATCAAAATATCAGATTTTAAAATATTTTAACACTTTTTTGAAGTTAAACACTGTAGAAATACTTAGAGAGTCAAGAAGGCCGCGAATACAAAGTTCAAACTTCATATTGGTTTTATCAACATGGATCCAGTTGATTGATAACAGAACTCGCCAAGACAGAATTTTTCTAATGACTTGCAAACTGCATTTAGTTTGAATGTTTAGCTTGAATAGGTTGACATCTTCATACTTACATTGTGGTTTTGCTCAGTTTTGGCTGAAAAACATGGCAGTTACAGGTAGCGCTCGAAGTACGACCACAATTGAGCCCCAAGTTACTGTTGCTAAGTGAGACAGTTGTTAAGTGAGTTTTGCCCAATTTACAACCTTTCTCGCCACAGTTGTCAAGTGAATCACTGCAGTTGTTAAATTAGTAACACAGTTGTTAAGTGAATCTGGCTTCCCCATTGACTTTGCTTGTCAGAACTTGTAAAAGGTGATCATATGACCCTGGGACACTGCAACCGTCATAAATATGAACTAGTTGACAGCCATTTGAATTTTGATCATGTGACCATGGGGATATTACAACAGTCGTAAGTGTGAAAATGGTCATAAGTTACTTTTTTCAGTGTGGTTGTAATTCCAAATGGTCACTAAACGAAGTCAAGGACTACCTGTAATAGGGAGCCCCTTAAATTCTACAACAGCAATATTTAGATATTTTTTTTTTGCATTGAACCAGTTGTCCAAATTGCTTATTGCATGTATTCATAAAGTATTAGCCATGAACCAAAACTCAATAGCAAGAAGGAAGTCCCAAATTCAACACACAAACAGCAAATATTGTGTTTTGTCTATGACTGCAGCTTTGCTGTGAAGCATTCTTATATTCTTAGTTAAGGAAAAAGGAGAAATTGATGCCAAATGATACATTATGGAGTGTCATTGTTAGGAAGATATTACAGAGTAAGACTTATTATTATTGAGTAAGGCTTATTATTGGGAGATAAAAACTTGGGGAAAACATAGGATAGAGTGTCCATGTTTCTGAAAGGGGAAAGGCCAGAGTTCTTACCCAGAACTCCCTCAGCTTCACAAAACTCTTGAAACTGGTTGAGGAAATAGAGGCAGTCCAGAAGAAAAGACACACAGTTTTATATTGAAGGAGTAACAGCCAGTTCAGAGACAGAGCTTAGGATTTGTTTTCAGGGAGTTAGGATTACTACTACTACTACTACTTCTACTACTGCTGCTGCTGCTGCTGCTGCTGCTGCTGCTACTACTACTACTACTACTACTACTACTACAGTCATGTCAAGAGTGCTGAAGCACTTCTGGGTTGAAAGGATTGACATTACCGTTGCTTGGGGGACACCCAGGTGAAGGCTCATTTCATGTCCCCGTTAAATTGCCCACTGAAATGGCACCCATTTATTTACTCATAGTCGTCCTCTTTTGAACTGCTGCATTGGCAGAAGCTAGTGCATGTGACGGGAGCTCACCCCATCCTGTGGCAGCAACCAGGTCTCAAATGGGAGCCTGCTGATCATCAGTCCAGCACTCTAACCTTAGAGCCACAAGCTCCTGTTATGATGCAGATCATTTTGTGATTCACAGTGAAATAGCCTAATGGGTTTAACTCTTCTTATGCAAAGATAAGCCGTGTCTATAAAGATTCTCAATCATCCAGATCATGGTTGTCCCAAAGGTGTTTTTTCCAAAAGGGAACTGGACTTTCTTGGTTTTTCCTTTGAAAATGTTTTGCTTCTAATCTAAGAAGCTTCTTCAGTTATAACTGAAGAAGTTAGAACTAAACTGAACAGTCAGAACTTGAAGACGATTCTTGGATGAGAAGTGAAATGTTTTCAAAGGAAAAAAACCAAGACAGACCAGTTGCCTTTGGGGCCAAAGATAGGCCTTATCTCCTCTGATCATCTTTAGTCTATGCCATTTACTGTCTCACTGCTTCACAATATAAAACTGGAATATTATTTACTCCCAGGTCTGTTTTACAGTGAATTGCTGGCCTTGATTATGAGTAAGTTATTAGAAACAGAAGAACAAAATGAAGGTGAGAAATTTGCTGATATCTTGGATTTGGAGGATTTGATTGAATTGTGAGAATGAAACTACGTGAATTTACATGGCTTGTCCAGAAACAAAACACTGCAGGGTTTGGAAGTGTTTTATATTATATTGAGGCAAGACCACTGCTCCTCTCACCAACAATTTTCCCTTTCCCTTATCATTGTGGTGCAATAAACCCAAGTGTACTTTACACTGTTTTGACCTGATGTGGAAGTATGTGCAAGTGTGTGGGAGGGGAAATAAAACTTACCAGCCTACACCATTTATAAGTGTCCAATAATAAATTTTAAAAGGACAGGAGAACAATCTAATAAAAGCACTTTAACATCCCAAAAGAAATTGCTGCTCCAAGCATTTATATAATTAGCTTTCACACTGAAAGGAACTTTGGAATGTTGCCCTGCTTTCTGCTTAATTCTGGAGAAGTAATCAGCTAAAATGTCAAACATGTTCAATATCTTGGCAATACAAGAGAATGGGTCAGCTAGATAATACAAACAAAAGAATTCTATGAATGCAGCATAATACAAGAGAGATTTTTGCATTTGAGGAATATTTGAGTGGTGAAATCATAACTGTAAAG